CATTTTATCATTTTTACTACAGAATGTATTACATTTTATCATTTTTACTATAGAATGTATTACATTTTATCATTTTTACTACAGAATGTATTACATTTTATCATTTTTACTATAGAATGCATTACATTTTATCATTTTTACTACAGAATGTATTACATTTTATCATTTTTACTACAGAATGTATTACATTTTATCTTTTCTACAATAGAATGTGTTGCATTTTCCCCAGTTTATAAAGTTATATATTTCTAGCTGTTTTATATTTTTAATATATTCAGTAAACTGTATAATAATAAATTAGCTGCAATGGAATAATAGAAGTCACAGTTCTACATTAATATACATTAATATTGTCAGTTAAAAAAGACTTTAAAACCCTGTTAATATTATATACATATCACCGTTAGAAGAGGCCTTTCTGAATGGTCTAAACTTCTGTTCACAGCAGAAGGTGCACCCAATCAAAACACGCATTAGGCCTATTCGTCACGGATCATATTTCCAATTTTACCCTTGGTGAAAACTAAAGAAATCTGTAATAAAAAGATTTTGTTTATTTGTTCAATTCTGTTTGCTTGTTTTCGTTTGTTATCCGTATTGGATTTATTTATTCTTCAGTTAACAGTCTTCAATCTGCGTTTTACGGATACTCTTTAGTTAGTCCTCGGACATTAGAACCTAAATAACACAAAAATAGTATTTAGAGGGTGAAAATCACCCACAATATAAGTGTAACGTGTGTGTGATGAGGTTAAGAATCCTTTCATCAGTCCATCATGTTTTATCATCACGTTAAAAGCGTAAAAATGTGAGTGATGAGGGTAAAAAGCCTTTCATCAGTATCCTGCTTTATTGTCGGGTGAAAAGTGTAAAAGCGTGTGTTATGAGGGTAAAAGTAATAATACTCTAGTTAAGCCTAATTGGCCAACTGTACATATCAAAAACAGAAACATGAGTTGTTAAAGGCTAACTTGCCAGGTCTAATTAGTTTTTCATCCTTTAATCACGAAGGTGGTCCTGTCAGATGAAAAAAAAAAAGTTATAACAGCCTTCCTTTAGTATATGTACAGTTTATTGAAGCAACATGTCCTGACTGTATACGTCATCTTCTCCAGCATTTCGTACAAAACATTTCTAGCGTTCTTAGTAATACGTGTTTTTGTTTGTTTTGTATTTTACACAGGTAACGACTACGACATCTTGGCCACACCTGTAACTCCTCCCTCCGTCATTCCCGGGTCCACCCAAGCCACCTCCATGCCTCGCCTCTTCTTCGCTGGGGAACACACTATCCGAAACTACCCAGCCACTGTCCACGGAGCCCTGCTAAGTGGGTTGCGGGAAGCTGGCCGCATTTCCGACCAGTTCCTCGGTTGTCCGTACGCCTTGCCACGGCAGACGCCCCGGACCGTGTCTACTGTTCAGTGATTGTCTTAGCATCATTAAATTTGAATTTACTAGCTGTGTAAGAACCGATCATAAACGTTTTCAAGGCTCGTGGTGGCGTTTTATTCTTATCGTTAAAGTCATAGGTCATCATCATCAATGCTGTAAGGGTCCGAGTATGTTCATGGGAAGTTCGGGGAAACCAACAGACTCTTTTATTAGTTACTATCTGAAGCTAATAGTATTAACCAATCACTTTTATATATTGCTCTCTGAAGATAATTAGTAATTCATTACTATAGACCTTTAATGGAATACTGAAGTTGTTACCCACTGTTATGTTTTATTTCCTTTTTAAGCCCAGAATTTATGTATGGTAACTGTATCCATACACTCGAAGCATTTAAGCCAACGTGTCTGTCATGTTAAAAAATAAAACATTGCTATTCGGCCATAGTTGGATATAAAACATTGGGTCAGTAGTCTGATATGAAACATTTGGACCAGCACGTTTACTTTAACGTGGTATAAACGAGATACTATGTGTTTGTGAAACGATGCACTGAGTTGTACTAGCACCTGATGTAGACGGTATTTCTCGGGTTTAGGGCACTGAGTTGTACTAGCACCTGGTGTAGACGGTATTTCTCGGGTTTAGGGCACTGAGTTGTACTAGCACCTGGTGTAGACGGTATTTCTCAGGTTTAGGGCACTGAGTTGTACTAGCACCTGGTGTAGACGGTATTTCTCGGGTTTAGGCACTGAGTTGTACTAGCACCTGGTGTAGACGGTATTTCTCAGGTTTAGGGAATATGTAGTAAGGTAAATAATATATTAGTAAGGTAAATAGTTTTAAAAGTAAGCAGGAAATAAGAGTAGTTTCACGCTAAGGTGTAATTTTTTTTACAACAATTTTTTTTTCGTAGATATTATTTTCGTGTAAAAGATTTACTAATATTATACTTTCTGTTTTAATTATTTCCCCCAAAACTTAATATTCCCGCGTAACTGTATTGATTTAGTGACCCAGTAGTAACTCTGAATATTTCCATGTAACAGTAGCAAGAGAGTAAGTGATCCGGTAGTAACTCCGAATATTCCCATGTAACAGTAGCAAGAGAGTGAGTGATCCGGTAATAACTCCGAATATCCCCATATAACAGTATCAAGAGAATGAGTGATCCGGTAGTAACTCCGAATATCCACATATAACAGTATCAAGAGAATGAGTGATCTGGTAGTACCTCCGAATATCCCCATATAACAGTATCAAGAGAATGAGTGATCAGGTAGTAACTCCGACTATTCCCATGTAACAGTATCAAGAGAATGAGTGATCAGGTAGTAACTCCGACTATTCCCATGTAACAGTATCAAGAGAATGAGTGATCCGGTAGTAACTCCGAATATCCCCATATAACAGTATCAAGAGAATGAGTGATCCGATAGTAACTCCGACTATTCCCATGTAACAGTATCAAGAGAATGAGTGATCCGGTAGTAACTCCGACTATTCCCATGTAACAGTATCAAGAGAATGACCCAGTAGTAACTAAGATCGTAATGTTTAAGTATAAATAAATAATTCCCGACTCTCTATGTAATAACAACATCAATAGTTGAAGAAGTTTTAGTGAACATTTTGGTAAACTTTCTGTGAATTCATATCCAGATAATACCGAACTGGTGTGTGTGATTTATAGTTGGTGAGAATATCACTGTTGTCATGGTAGCAAGTCGCTAGGATTTTAAGCGTTTGTTAGTAGGATTATAAGAATCCTCCGATCCACGAGTCTAGCATTTCCAAGGTGAGTCTGTGTTTTTTTTTTCTGCCATAATTGCTGATGGCACTGTTATTTGCTGTTTTTGAACGACCTGGAGCACGTGGATAACAATTATAGATTTCTTTAACAAAGCGCAATTCACTCTTCATTTGTACAACTGTCTGTTCTAGTCTGTCCCAAAACTGTTGGATCAAGTATCACTATTTTCATTTGTGTTTGATGTCAATTTGGGGATCCTGTAGCCACTGTATAGATTGAATACTGGAAAAAATAACAAGTGTAGCTGACGTTTTCTTTGTATTGTAGACTCTTTCAATAAAATCAGATTTAATAAAACGAGAAAAAAAAAGCAGTTATTTCTGGCACTTTTAACACTTCACTTAAAAGTGGTAATAAAAGTTTCTTCACTATTTACACACGTCTAGAAGATTAATGAACCAATCAGGTTTTAATGTAAACTGTAAATGTTAAAACAGATCTTTACTTTGTAAAGTAGACTTTGTCTCAATATCATTTACCCATTTGTACAAAAATGCTTGGATATAATTACTTTGATACAATATAACACATTAAATAAGATTAGTTGATCATGAACGCTACATTATTGACTAGAATTGATTGAAGTCGGATATAACACGAAAATGGTTCATTCCACATTTAATATTGAACCTTACATCGCTAAGTAAAGTTGTTTAATATTGAACCTTACATCGCTAAGTAAAGTTGTTTAATATTGGACCTTACATCGCTGAGTCATGTTGTTTAATATTGGACCTTACATCGCTGAGTCATATTGTTTAATATTGGACCTTACATCGCTGAGTCATGTTGTTTAATATTGGACCTTACATCGCTGAGTCATGTTGTTTAATATTGGACCTTACATCGCTAAGTAAAGTTGTTTAATATTGGACCTTACATCACTAAGTAAGGTTATTTAATATTGAACCTTACATCACTAAGTAAGTTGTTTAATATTGGACCTTACATCGCTGAGTCATGTTGTTTAATATTGGACCTTACATCAATGTAAGGTCCAATATTAAACAACATTACTTAGCGCTAAGTAATGTTGTTTAATATTGGGCCTTACATCGCTAAGTAAGGTTATTTAATATTGGGCCTTACATCGCTAAGTAAGGTTATTTAATATTGGACCTTACATCGCTAAGTAATGTTGTTTGATATTGGACCTTACATCGCTAAGTAAGGTTCTTTAATATTGGTCCTGACATCGCTAAGTAATGTTTAATATTGGTCCTGACATCGTTGAGTCATGTTTAATATTGGACCTTACATCGTTGAGTCATGTGTTTAATATTGTACCTTACATCGCTGAGTCATGTTGTTTAATATTGGACCTTACATCGCTAAGTAAGGTTATTTAATATTGGTCCTGACATAGCTAAGTAATGTTGTTTAATACTGAACCTAACGACATTGGGGAAGACTGTTTAATGCTGGACCTGACATTGTTAACTTCTCATATAATAATAATATATTTTGTCGCCACAGTTGAGAGAAAAATTAAAAACTTGTACAATATATTTAGAATTTGGTTGGGAAATGTTTATAGTTGTATTGCTTGAATTCTATTCCTCTATCGGAAACTCGTTCGTGTCGTAGTCACTCTCCAGCAAATAAAATTTCGTATCAAAAGTTGATGAGAAAGAAATGATGATAACAGGATTTGCGTAATTAACTAGACAGAATAAAGAAGCTGCATCAGAGTGTTCGATAAATGGTGTATCTTATAATTTCCAACACAATAGCGGCTATTTAATTTTTTATGTGGAGTCAGTGCTGAAGGAAAGGGAAATTTCCCACTCGTCTTGTTCACCGACATCTTCAACGTTTTGCATGTGTACATTTCTGTACAGCATTCAAGTACATATGATAACTGTGAGTTGAAAGTACTGTCGGGCTGAGTGCAGATTGAAAACGTAAAGAGCTGAGAGACAGTTTCCTGGCTGTTTGACTGACAGTTTCACATCATTCTTACATTATCTCGGTACTGTTCAATGAGCCGATGAATCGGTTTATGTAGCAGATACAATTGCTGTTGTCAGCACCGTCAGCTTAGCGCTGACTGATCATGATAAGAATGTGAATTATAAGACGACAGAGTGTGCGTTTTTCCCGTTTATTTTATTTTTAGTGCCAAATGAACAGGTTCTATTTCATCCCCAGAACAGAGAAGTGTGCATAAATATATCCAACAAGCCAGTTCAGTTTGGTTTCTAGCGAGATCGATCATTAGAGTACATTAAGAGTGCTTGTATTCCTGTCAGGCTAGTTAAGTCCTCAGTCCAATCGATAAAAGAGACCATATACGTGCATGGAAAATAACTGCCCTAAACCAAAAAGACTTAGTCAGTGAGCAATTCGCCCGACAGTTCGGATCTGTGAGGTAAATATGACTCACTGATAAAGGTTCGATTATAATTGGAGTATTATCATACTCTATTTGTAACCAGTGTTCGAGAAAAAAACTTTTACTAAATACTATATTTTTTTATCGCACGGTTCAAACTACAGTTTATAAGTGTATTTAATCTAGATTATTTGAGATTCAGAATATTAGAAACAGATCCTTTCTGAAATCTCTCATTAATTCTCAAGTCTTTTTTTTTTTAACTATCACTGGGTAAATGCATTTACAAACACAGTAGCACAGCGGTATGTCTACGGACTTACAACGCTAGAAACCGGGTTTTGATACCCGTGGTGGGCAGAGCACAGATAGCCCATTGTGTCGCTTTGTGCATAACTACAAACAAACACGTATTGTGTGTTTAACTTTGACAGAAGAGCCCCCTAGTTGCTCGACTAAAAATCGGGTTGCGATACCCATGGTGAGCAAAACACGGATAGCCCATTGTGAAGCGTTGTGTTTAACAACAACCGAACTACATCAAGTATACTGTATGTTTTTACAATACATCGGGATTGTGCATTGAATCTTTGTCGTTCAAAACACAATTTCAGTGTTTTGGAGTTTGAATTTAAAATAAAAGCATTAAAAAGTAATCTAATTTATCTAATCTAAGTAATCTAATTTTGCCAATACCGAGAAATATATAGAACGTTTATTTTCCGTAATTCGTATAAAGGAATAAATCAGTTTGATTGGACGCTTTTCATGTTTGATTACCTAAGGAATAATGCAGTTTTATTGGACGCCTTTCATGTTTGATTATCTAAGGAATAATGCAGTTTTATTGGACGCCTTTCATGTTTGATTACCTAAGAAATAATTCAGCTTTATTGGATGCCTTTCATGTTTGATTATCTAAGGAATAATGCAGTTTTATTGGACGCCTTTCATGTTTGATTACCTAAGGAATAATTCAGTTTTATTGGACGCCTTTCATGTTTGACTATTCTAAGACTAGAAACATCTTAGATCGAAGTCATATTGGGTTATCTGCTGTGTCCATCACGGGGAATCCAGCCTCGGATTTTAGCTTTGTAAATACGTAAATATATCGCTGTCCCATCGGGGGACAAAATAAAAAACGTTACAGCATGGTGAAAAGATACGTATAAATAGTGATGGTCAAACTCGCGGTAAAGGAAAGAGCAATATTGGTCAATGTTTCAGCCAAGCGACCTTTACTGGTTTGACTGAAATGTTTACCAATTACCAAGGATTAATAGCATTCTATAAAAATGGTGCGTTCCAGGTGTTGTGCTTGTTTTTTCGGAACTGCTACTTCCATTCTAGATTTAGCAATCGGAGGGTCGCGGGTTCGAATCCCCGTCACACCAAACATGCTCGCCCTTTCAGCCGTGGGGGCGTTATAATGTGACGGTCAATCCCACTATTCGTTGGTAAAGGAGTAACTCAAGAGTTTGCGGTGGGTGGTGATGACTAGCTGCCTTCCCTCTATTCTTACACTGCTAAATTAGGGACGGCTAGCGCAGATAGCCCTCGTGTAGCTTTGTGCGAAATTCAAAACAAACAAACAAACCATCCTAGATTGTCCTCGTTCCGGTGTCCATGATCAAACACTGTGGTCTGTTACCTCAGTTGTTATATTTTATAGAGGACCGTGATGTCAGTCGTATACTACACATCTCGTCAAACTCCATTGTACCGGGAGTCTTTAATTCTAAGACCACGTTTAAGCATATCAAATCGCAAAATCTGTTGGAGCTTTCTCGGGAGACGTGATAGCTATGAGGTCGAGTGGTACTGCAGCTTATTTGGTTTTGGTGTTCTTAGAAAGGCAGCTGTTGACTTTGAGGTGAAACTGGAAGCTTGACGACAGCCTTCAAATCCTTCTACATTATAGTGTTAAAGGTATCAAAGAATAACTTGAGCTTCATGATAGTGGCCTTAAATTATCTTTCGTTACTTCAGCTTTCAGTCTGCGTTGATTCACTTTAACTTGAGGTGATTTCAAAGTCCGTTTTGTCCGAAACACACTGATGCACAAAGTTTTCCCATGAAGAAATTTGAAAACTCTCTTCTTTAAAATGTACCTTTGTTTAGCAAGAGACAAGAGTCGAATATAAAATACACCAAAAATAATGGTGAAAGGCAACGTTTAAAAGCTGAAGTGTGATCTTGAATGAAAACTTGATTAAACACGTATTTTAACAACATAAGATTGAATACTGACGGTATACTGAAGATGAAGTGAAACTAAGGCTGAGTATATCAGACACTGATAACAATTAATTGAAACAAAGGAAGACTGGACAGAAATGCACAAGCAGGGTTCGTCTCGTTCGAAATTAAAAAAAGCAAAACGAAACCGTTCTCAAAGCTTATAGAACTTAATATCTAGATTGATCCCGGGAAACGAATTTTAGAAATTTGGCTGTGCCTCTACCCAATGTAGTCTCACAACGAGGTGGCTACCTAAACAATTATACCTGTTATTGAGGCTAGAACCTAGGGCTAAGTTCAGCATAATACGTTTTACGGATTTTAATTATTAGAAACCGAAACAAAAGACTTCTAAAACTTAAGTAGCGTTGACCCTTAAATCTGGGCAAATTTACGTGCTGAGAAAACACTGTTAAACATTTTTTATAACCTTCAAGTTGAGCATAAAACACAAGTTTGATGTCACAATCTCTGAAAGTACACTTTTAGTCATATACGTATTTAATGCGACAGAAATAAAGAAATACGTAACATAAACTGTTTTAACACCAGAACTTTAGTTAGGAATAATAAAAACGTGAAAACTGATACACCTGCTCTTTCTGAACATCCTTGAATTAAAAACTTTGCCAAATTTTCTGCAACGTTAAAAAGTTCTGGGTAATTAGTTTTAAGTAATGCCTTCGTTAATGGTAATTAGACTCATAACAAGATAACTGGTAAAGATTTTC